TGGGGTGCCAGTGTTGCTCACAGTCTACAGAAAACGGCACTGATGAAGGAATAAACAGCGACATCAGTAAATTTGCCGATGACACTAAAATAGGTCAAATTTCTGATGTGGACACTAAAGGCTACAGGATAACCTATAGTGTGCGTGTGTGTGTGTATGTGTGTGTGTGTGTGTGTGTGTGTGTTACGCCAAATATCGGTATTGGCCACTTTTACGGTATCGGTTAAAAAACGGCCGATACCATCAGATATTTTTTAAAATATTAATATTGCATGTACTTAATAACATCGACATTAACACTATACCTCAGGAATGTGAGGGGTTATTCTGTCCTCTCTCTCTTTCTCACGCACTATCGACAAGTGCCTTTAACAACCAGTAACTAACACAACAATCCACGTAATGAGTAATGACATTATCTCAGCGAAATGAAGTTATTTAATATTTGGCTTTCCTGTGATATTCAATACCCATCGAGTAATAAACATTCCCATATATATACTGAACACAGTCATTATAATTTGAAAATAAAAAAATATACGTGAAATTTAATGTTCGTTTGTGAATTGATCAATGTGAAGGAGATGCAGAGAATAACAGCAGCAGCTGCAGTAACTGTGTAATATATGGTGAAGTAGGAGTATGTTGAAACAGAGGTTGAGAATACTCACCAGTATCCATGGCGACAACAGTCAGGGTGTAGTAGTCTCGTTGTTCACGATCTAGCGCCCTCAAGAGGCTTATCTGCCCCGAGGTGGCGTTCACAGAGAACACAGACTTGTCGCCCTCCTTCACCAGGTAGTTGACGCGGTTGTAGGGCGGGTTGTCTGCATCGAAGGCGGTGACGGTGGCGATCGGTGCCGGCAGCGCCGCCATATTCTCCATCACGTAAACAAGGTAGGGCGAGTCCAAAAACACGGGAGCGTTGTCGTTAATGTCCATAATGGAGATGGTGACGGTGGCGGAGTCATAGCGGACATCTGCACCCGAGTCCTCAGCTTGTACAGTCAGCAGATAATGGTTACGACGCTCGTAGTTGAGGTTCTTGGCCACTCGGATGACGCCGGTGTCCTCACTGATGGAAAAGTCGCGGTTCTTGTCGCCAGCCACGATGGTGTAGCGGACGCGGCCGTTGAGGCTCTCGTCGGCGTCAGTAGCCGAAACCTGCAGCACTGAGAGGCCGATGGAGGCGTTCTCCGGCACGCTGGCCGAGTACTGCTTGGGGTCAAAGATGGGAGAATTGTCGTTCTCGTCAGCGATGCGCAGGCTGATGGTAAGGGTGTGAGCATTCGGCGGGTTACCGCGATCTCTGGCCGTCACCACCAGAGAGTAATTGGCCCGTTCTTCACGGTCTAGCGGGGCCGCGATCCTCAAGAGACCGTCGACGGGACCAAGAGCAAACCGGTTGCCGGGCACGGGAGCCAGCGAATATTCTATGTAAGAATTGCGTCCTTCATCGCGGTCCACGGCCTTCACAGCCATCACTACCGTGTTTACTGGAGTGTTCTCTTCCACCACCGTCTCGTTGGGCGTCACGAACTCAGGAGCCATGTCGTTGACGTCTCTCAGGATGATGGTTACCTGCAACAAACACGAAAATGTTAGACTTGCCGGTATAATACCAGTAGTGTACCTGTTCAAACACCAGCTATCAGTTCAGGTGACCATCGCCTCCGCGGCCCGGTCTCAGACCAGGCCTTCTAATTATATAGACTTCCAAGTTTATGTCTTTCAGGTTACATGGAATTTAATCCCTCATTACAACGATTACATTATACTGGACTAGTGGCGCACAGGTTACACTCAGCTTTAATGACCTTCGTGCAGTTGATAGGATTTAAACCTAATTAATCAACCAATCCTAGATGGGAAAGGAAATATTGCACATAACAACTAGTAAAATAATCAAAATAAAGAGTACACTGCATGTTGCTAAATTTATTACCACGTTCACTAATCACTGTTGCCTAGTGATTCAACATTTGAACTTTCATGTGTCAGTTTGAACTTTCAATAATTTGAACCTTCACGAGTCAATAATTTGAACTTTCACGAGTTAATAATTTGAAAATATACAATATTTTAGTACCTAAAAAGATTTCAAGTGTGAAAGCGGTGTGTGGAGCGGACACTAGGCTCTTCTAGATTTCTTACACTCCTGCTAGGAACTTAGGGTTTTCCAAAGCTCCTGCTACTCCTTTAGGCATCTGCTAGGCTTCTAGACTTTTTGCAAGGCTTCTCAGGGGCTCCTCTTAGGCTTTTCCCAGGCTTCTAGACTCCTGCAGCAGCAGCGACAGGAACAGTGTGGGCGAAGCAGTGTGAGCGAGGCAGCAGCAGCCATGTGGACGAGGCAACAGCAACGTGAGCGAGGCAGCAGCAGTGTGGGTGAGGCAGCAGCAGCAGTGTGGGCGAGGCAGCAACAGCAGTGTGGGCGAGGCAGCAACAGCAGTGTGGGCGAGGCAGCAACAGCAGTGTGGGCGAGGCAGCAACAGCAGTGTGGGCGAGGCAGCAGCAGCAGTGTGGGCGAGGCAGCAGCAGCAGTGTGGGCGAGGCAGCAACAGCAGTGTGGGCGAGGCAGCAACAGCAGTGTGGGTGAGGCAGCAACAGCAGTGTGGGCGAGGCAGCAACAGCAGTGGGTGAGGCAGCAACAGCAGTGTGGGTGAGGCAGCAACAGCAGTGTGGGCGAGGCAGCAACAGCAGTGTGGGCGAGGCAGCAACAGTAGTGTGGGTGAGGCAGCAACAGCAGTGTGGGCGAGGCAGCAACAGCAGTGTGGGCGAGGCAGCAACAGCAGTGTGGGCGAGGCAGCAACAGCAGTGTGGGCGGGGCAGCAACAGCAGTGTGGGCGAGGCAGCAACAGCAGTGTGGGTGAGGCAGCAGCAGTGTGGACGAGGCAACAGCAGTGTGAGCGATACAGAAACAGCAGTGTGGGCGAGGCAGCAGCAACAGCAGTATGGGCGAGGCAGCAGCAACAGCAGCAGTGTGGGCGAGGCAGCAGCAGCAGTATGGGCGAGGCAGCAGCAGAACAGCAGCAGTGTGGGCGAGGCAGCAACAGAACAGCAGCAGTGTGGGCGAGGCAGCAGCAGAACAGCAGCAGTGTGGGCGAGGCAGCAGCAGTGTGGGCGAGGCAGCAGCAGCAGCAGTGTGGGCGAGGCAGCAGCAGCAGCAGTGTGGGCGAGAGTTCTTCTACCCTCGTCACTGTCTCCTGACGCCCAGGAAAGGCTGTTGACCACCTGATCAACCAGGCTGTCTGTGGTAGCGCCCCGCAGGCCAGCACAACAACAGCAGCATCTGAGTAGCTCCAGATAAGACAGGTAAATTATCCCTAATAGTCGTATCAGTATTACGACTCGACTCTTGAGGTAGCGGATACAATTACATCAAAGAGTTAAGAGGTGTGCAAGAGCCATGATTCGACCCCCTGTGAATACAATTAGGGAAAGAAATAGATAAACGAAAAAAATTATTATAATTATTTGTAGAAAGCACTAAATCTGTACGGCCATATAGTGCTTGAAGAGGAGGATGTAAGCAGATTTGAACAGAGGTAAGAGGGTAGCTCTAATTCCTTGTCCCTTGAAGGGACAAGAGGACGTAAGTGCCGTGTACTCCATCCACCGCACACTGGCAATTAATGTTGTATCTGTTCTTTAATACTGTATCTTTAAAACAGATAAAAGTATATGTATATGCAGTATACCCTAAGAGATACACACATCTCGGTATATACACTGGACGAGATGTATATACCTCGTATATACAGTGTATATACACTAGGATATAAATCTCCTGGACAATCTCATGCCTAACCAGTTGTTTCATGTAGCAATTATTGTTACATTGTCACCATCAGTGTTAGTGGAGCAGCACGAGTGCTGACAACCCCTTGACGTTCAGCACGAGTGCTGACAACCCCTTAACGTTCAGCACGAGTGCTGACAACCCCTTAACGTTCAGCACGAGTGCTGACAACCCCTTAACGTTCAGCACGAGTGCTGACAACCCCTTAACGTTCAGCACGAGTGCTGACAACCCCTTAACGTTCAGCACGAGTGCTGACAACCCCTTAACGTTCAGCAAGAGAGCTGACAACCCCTTAACGTTCAGCACGAGTGCTGACAACCCCTTAACGTTCAGCACGAGTGCTGACAACCCCTTAACGTTCAGCACGAGTGCTGACAACCTCACTAACGTTCAGCACGAGTGCTGACGATCCCAATAACGTTCAGCACGAGTGCTGACAACCCCTTAACGTTCAGCACGAGTGCTGACAACCCCACTAACGTTCAGCACGAGTGCTGACAACCCCAAACGTTCAGCACAAGTGCTGACAACCTCACTAACGTTCAGCACGAGTGCTGACAACCCCTTAACGTTCAGCACGAGTGCTGACAACCCCTTAACGTTCAGCACGAGTGCTGACCTCACTAACGTTCAGCACGAGTGCTGACAACCCCACTAACGTTCAGCACGAGTGCTGACAACCTCACTAACGTTCAGTACGAGTGCTGACAACCCCTTAACGTTCAGCACGAGTGCTGACAACCCCACTAACGTTCAGCACGAGTGCTGACAACCTCAATAACGTTCAGCACGAGTGCTGACAACCCCACTAACGTTCAGCACGAGTGCTGACAACCTCAATAACGTTCAGCACGAGTGCTGACAACCCCTTAACGTTCAGCACGAGTGCTGACAACCCCTTAACGTTCAGCACAAGTGCTAACAACCCCTTAACGTTCAGCACGAGTGCTGACGACCCCTTAACGTTCAGCACGAGTGCTGACAACCCCTTAACGTTCAGCACGAGTGCTGACAACCCCTTAACATTCAGCACAAGTGCTGACAACCCCTTAACGTTCAGCACGAGTGCTGACAACCCCTTAACGTTCAGCACGAGTGCTGACAACCCCTTAACGTTCAGCACAAGTGCTAACAACCCCTTAACGTTCAACACGAGTGCTGACAACCCCTTAACGTTCAGCACAAGTGCTAACAACCCCTTAACGTTCAGCACGAGTGCTGACGACCCCTTAACGTTCAGCACGAGTGCTGACAACCCCTTAACGTTCAGCACGAGTGCTGACAATCCCTTAACGTTCAGCACAAGTGCTGACAACCCCTTAACGTTCAGCACGAGTGCTGACAACCCCTTAACGTTCAGCACGAGTGCTGACAACCCCTTAACGTTCAGCACGAGTGCTGACAACCCCACTAACGTTCAGCACGAGTGCTGACAGCCCCACTAACGTTCAGCACGAGTGCTGACAACCTCACTACCGTTCAGCACGAGTGCTGACGATCCCAATAACGTTCAGCACGAGTGCTGACAACCCCTTAACGTTCAGCACGAGTGCTGACAACCGCACTAACGTTCAGCACGAGTGCTGACAACCCCACTAACGTTCAGCACGAGTGCTGATAACCTCACTAGCGTTCAGCACGAGTGCTGACCTCACTAACGTTCAGCACGAGTGCTGACAACCCCTTAACGTTCAGCACGAGTGCTGACCTCACTAACGTTCAGCACGAGTGCTGACAACCTCACTAACGTTCAGCACGAGTGCTGACGATCCCAATAACGTTCAGCACGAGTGCTGACAACCTCATAACGTTCAGGACAAGTGCCGACAAACCCACTAACGTTCAGCACGAGTGCTGACAACCTCACTAACGTTCAGCACGAGTGCTGACAACCTCACTAACGTTCAGCACGAGTGCTGACGATCCCAATAACGTTCAGCACGAGTGCTGACAACCCCTTAACGTTCAGCACGAGTGCTGACAACCTCACTAACGTTCAGGACGAGTGCTGACAACCTCACTAACGTTCAGCACGAGTGCTGACGATCCCAATAACGTTCAGCACGAGTGCTGACAACCCCTTAACGTTCAGGACAAGTGCCGACAACCCCACTAACGTTCAGCACGAGTGCTGACAACCTCACTAACGTTCAGCACGAGTGCTGACAACCTCACTAACGTTCAGCACGAGTGCTGACGATCCCAATAACGTTCAGCACGAGTGCTGACAATCCCTTAACGTTCAGCACGAGTGCTGACCTCACTAACGTTCAGCACGAGTGCTGACAACCTCACTAACGTTCAGCACGAGTGCTGACGATCCCAATAACGTTCAGGACGAATGCTGACAACCCCTTAACGTTCAGGACAAGTGCCGACAACCCCACTAACGTTCAGCACGAGTGCTGACAACCCCTTAACGTTCAGGACAAGTGCTGACAACCCCACTAACGTTCAGGACAAGTGCTGACAACCCCACTAGCGTTCAGCATGAGTGCTGACAATCCCACTAACGTTCAGCACGAGTGCTGAAAACCCCACTAACGTTCAGAACGAGTGCTGAAAACCCCACTAACGTTCAGCACGAGTGCTGACAACCCTTAACGTTCAGAAAAAGTGCTGACAACCCCACTAACGTTCAGCACGAGTGCTGACAATCCCACTAACGTTCAGCACGAGTGCTGACAACCCCACTAACGTTCAGCACGAGTGCTGACAACCCCACTAACGTTCAGCACGAGTGCTGACAACCCCACTAAAGTTCAGCACGAGTGCTGACCCCACTAACGTTCAGCACGAGTGCTGACAACCCCACTAACGTTCAGCATGAGTGCTGACAACCCCTTAACGTTCAGAACGAGTGCTGACAAACCCCTAACATTCAGCACGAGTGCTGACAAACCCCTAACGTTCAGCACGAGTGCTGACAAACCCCTAACGTTCAGCACGAGTGCTGACAACCCCCTAACGTTCAACACGAGTCCTGACAACCCCCTAATGTTCAGCAGTAGTACTGACAACCCCCTAACATTCAGCACGAGTGCTGACAACCTCTTAACGTTCATTCTCGTTTGGCGCATTTTAAACCGTGTTTACGTTCACTATGCAGGAAATCGTTCATATAACCCGAGACAAATATGACCACACAGTGTAATAATCCGCTCCTTGTCTTGTTATCGTTGTACGTGAGTGAAACAAGATAAGAGGGAGTGTGGTCACTGATGGTAAACATATCAACAAGGAAGCCTAGCCTCGGGCCTGGCAACGAGGCTTGAAGAAATCTTTGGAAAAACGATTGGCTGGTCAGGCAACGCCTCCCCCCCCCCCCACCAATCCCCCCGACCGTTCCAAGCGAAGTTAATGCAAACACTTTGTTCTTGAAATCTATTACTGGACCACTCTCTAACACAGTATGGAGATGTAACAGTCTGGGTAGATGTAGGTGCAAGGATTCGGTGTTCAGTAACACCAGTGGTGTTAGTGGTGAACAAGAGTGGTGTCAGTAAACGCAACAGTGGTGTTACTGAATACCTAACACCTCACCATAGTGGCGGCATTATTTTTCTTAAGAAACGTGAAAGTTATATGAGGGCCGAGGTAGCAGTGACTGCTGGTCTCCTTGATCCGAGTGACTGACAATGTAACACTGGCATCACCTCCCACACAGGCACACACCATCACACTAACCCCACCACTCCAACAACATAACACCCGTTACCACTGTCACACCACCATCACGGCAACAACACCACCACCACCACACACGCACAAGCCGTCACCACCACTGACACAACCAACTACTTCAATAAACACCTCACACAACGTGTACTAACACAATACTCATTAGCACACAGAATGAGCAGTGATTCAGTGAACAGTGTAACAAATATTTCTTAGAACTATGAATAAGATAATGAAGGTTTTTCTTAGCAGTGATCTAAGAGGTAACGCTTACCACCACGACATAACAATGGAGTGATCAGGTGTGTGTGTGTGTGTGTGTGTGTGTGTGTGTGTGTGTGTGTGTGTGTGTGTGTGTGTGTGTTGTACTCGCCTAGTTGTGGTTGCAGAGGTCGAGTCATAGCGCCTGGCCCCGCCTCTTCGCTGGTCGCTACTAGGTCCACTCTCTGCTCCATAAGCTTTATCATACCTCTTGTGTGTGGTGTGTGGGGAGACGGGCAATGTTTACACCAAAAACTGCGTTACCTCTCCACAAGGACCCCAATGGAACTAAGTCATTGACTTTTTTGTGCGGGGGGGGGGGGGTTAACCTAGGTAATTTACATCGTTTATGATAATAACTGTACTTATGTATACCTGCGCCTAACTAAACTTACTGGTTCCTCGGAGGAAACATCAAGAAAACATTGTACCTTTTTAAATCACTTATTCTCTCTAGGCTGGAATACTGCTGTACATTACCATCCTCATTCAAACCAGGTGAAATTGCAAAACTAGAGAATGTACAAAGAACCTTTACTGCACGTATAAGTTCCATCAAACACCTTAACTACTGGGAGCGCCTGGAAGCACTTGACTTGTACTCACTAGAGCGCAGGCGAGAAAGATGTATCATAATCTACACCTGGAAGATTCTGGAGAGACTGGTCCCTAATATGCACACAGCAATCACTCCATATGAAAGCAAAAGACTTGGCAGGCGATGCAACATACCCCCAGTGAGAAGTAGGTGCGTCACTGGTACACTAAGAGAAAACGCAATAAGTGTCCGGGGCCCAAGACTGTTCAACAGCCTCCCACCAGCAATAAGGGGCATTACGGGAAGACCCCTGGTTGTCTTCAAGAGGGAGCTGGACAGATACCTAAAGACAGTGTCGGATCAGCCGGGCTGTGGTTCGTACGTTGGATTGCGTGCTGCCAGCAGTAATAGCCTCGTTGATCAGGCCCTGATCCACCGGGAGGCCTGGTCGTGGACCGGGCCGCGGGGGCGTTGATCCCCGGAATGCCCTCCAGGTAACCATTGAAGAAATTCGTTGCAGGAGAATGCTTCAGAGGACTATATAGCGGCAGCGCCACTTATCCCGTGAGTACACACAGGCAGAGCCTCAGTACATGCACACAGGCAGAGCCTCAGTACATACACACAGGCAGAGCCTCAGTACTTACACAGGCAGAGCCTCAGTACATACACAGGCAGAGCCTCAGTACATGCACACAGGCAGAGCCTCAGTACATGCACACAGGCAGAGCCTCAGTACATGCACACAGGCAGAGCCTCAGTACATGCACATAGGGAGAGCCTCAGTACATACACAGGCAGAGCCTCAGTACATGCACACAGGCAGAGCCTCAGTACATACACACAGGCAGAGCCTCAGTACATGCACACAGGCAGAGCCTCAGTACATGCACACAGGCAGAGCCTCAGTACATGCACACAGGCAGAGCCTCAGTACATACACACAGGCAGAGCCTCAGTACATGCACACAGGCAGAGCCTCAGTACATGCACACAGGCAGAGCCTCAGTACATACACACAGGCAGAGAATCAGTACATACACACAGGCAGAGCCTCAGTACATGCCACAGGCAGAGCCTCAGTACATGCACACAGGCAGAGCCTCAGTACATGCACACAGGCAGAGCCTCAGTACATGCACACAGGCAGAGCCTCAGTACATCACACAAGCTAGAGCCTCAGTACATACACACAGGCAGAGCCTCAGTACATGCACACAGGCAGAGCCTCAGTACATGCACACAGGCAGAGCCTCAGTACATACACACAGGCAGAGCCTCAGTAGAGCCTCAGTACATACACACAGGCAGAGCCTCAGTACATGCACACAGGCAGAGCCTCAGTACATGCACACAGGCAGAGCCTCAGTACATGCACACAGGCAGAGCCTCAGTACATGCACACAGGCAGAGCCTCAGTACATGCACACAGGCAGAGCCTCAGTACATGCACACAGGCAGAGCCTCAGTACATGCACACAGGCAGAGCCTCAGTACATGACACACAGGCAGAGCCTCAGTACATGCACACAGGCAGAGCCTCAGTACATGCACACAGGCAGAGCCTCAGTACATGCACACAGGCAGAGCCTCAGTACATGCACACAGGCAGAGCCTCAGTACATGCACACAGGCAGAGCCTCAGTACATCACACAGGCAGAGCCTCAGTACATCACACAGGCAGAGCCTCAGTACATGCACACAGGCAGAGCCTCAGTACATGCACACAGGCAGAGCCTCAGTACATGCACACAGGCAGAACCTCAGTATATACACACAGGCAGAGCCTCAGTACATGCACACAGGCAGAACCTCAGTACATGCACACAGGCAGAGCCTCAGTACATGCACACAGGCAGAGCCTCAGTACATGCACACAGGCAGAGCCTCAGTACATGCACACAGGCAGAGCCTCAGTACATGCACACAGGCAGAGCCTCAGTACATGCACATAGGCAGAGCCTCAGTACATGCACACAGGCAAAGCCTCAGTACATGCACACAGGCAGAGCCTCAGTAACATACACACAGGCAGAGCCTCAGTACTGCACACAGGCAAGCCTCAGTACATCACACAGGCAGAGCCTCAGTACAAGCACACAGGCAGAGCCTCAAGTAACATGCACACAGGCAGAGCCTCAGTACATGCACACAGGCAGAGCCTCAGTACATGCACACAGGCAGAGCCTCAGTACATGCACACAGGCAGAGCCTCAGTACATGCACACAGGCAAGCCTCAGTACATGCACACAGGCAGAGCCTCAGTACATGCACACAGGCAGAGCCTCAGTACATCACACAGGCAGAACCTCAGTACTGCTACACAAGCAGAGCCTCAGTACATGCACACAGGCAGAGCCTCAGTACATGCACACAGGCAGAGCCTCAGTACATGCACAAGCAGAGCCTCGTACATGCACATTTCAGCAAACCTCAGTAACATGCACACAGGCAGAGCCGACAGTACATGCACACAGGCGAAGCTCAGTACATGCACACTAGGCAGAGCTCAGACATGCACACAGGCAGAACCTGCAGTACCTGCACACAGGAGATCCAAAATACATGCACACAGAACATCAACATGTACCAGGTAACCTGTCAGTAAATGCAACATGTGGAAAAGTATTCTTCAATAATGGCATCCAAACAGATTCCTTTGAAAGGTCATCTGTACTGAAGAGTTCACAATTACCCTCTACAAATCAATCGAAGACCAGACGAAACTGGAGAGAAAAAGGTCCCTAACAAGCGAGAATGCACTGTAGCCCTAGAGGTGTCTAGAAAATACGATAACACAAGAAAGAGAGCGTGACCAGAAGGGAAACATGAACTAGCTAATACTTACAGAACAGTATGGGCAGGAGAGTCTTAAATACTATGATCCAACCATGCCTTGAAAGAAATTCAAATTCTTTCATATGGTAAAAACAAGGCAAATATATCCACATCTAGTATCGGCCCTTACTAGACAGGAGGACTTACACAGATGAACAAGATGAACTGAAAAAAAAGTACGCTCCCTCTACGAGAGACGACCCGAAGATTCCGTGAGCTCCTCAAGTGCCTCGAATATAACTCGATAGATTCGAAAAGCCTGACAACATGCGAATGGAAACTTGCAGACTTAAGCTAAATGACTTACAGAACCAGAGAGCAAGGTGCTTAAACCTATTAGTGAAATTGAAAGAAATTCAAAAATATTTCTTTTCATATGCCTAAAAACAAGGCAAAACCACATCATAGTATCGGCCCTACTCAGACAGAATGACTTACACAGATGACAACAAGAAATGATGAAATATTGAAATCCCAGTACGACTCTGTTAGGTGAACCACTAATCGGTTCTGAGGATCGCGACCCCAAATGATTTCTTCAATGAATGAGCCTCAAAACTTAAGAAAATGTAAAGCCAGATTTCCGACATTACCCTAACTCCGATAGATTTCGAAAAAGCCATTGACAACATGCCTATGCACTCAGCCCCGGGCCCAGACTCGTGGAACTCTGTTTTCATTAAGAACTGCAAGAAACCCCTCTCGCGTGCCCTAAGTACACTATGGAGGAGGAGCTTGGACATGGGTGAAATTCCAGTCACTTAAAACAACGGATATAGCCCCACTCCATAAAGGTGGCAGCAAAGCATTAGCTAAGAACTATAGACCAATAGCTCTGACGTCCCACATCATAAAAATCTTTGAAAGAGTGCTAAGAAGCAGGATTGCAAATCACCTGGATTCCCAAAATCTGCACAATCCAGGGCAACATGGGTTCAGGGCAGGTCGCTCCTGCCTCTCACAACTACTGGATCACTATGACATGGCCTTGGATGCACTGGAAGAAAATCAGAATGCAGATGTAATATACAAAGACTTTGCAAAAGCATTTGACAAATGCGATCATGGCGTAATAGCCCATAAAATACGTGCTAAAGGAATAATTGGGAAAGTGGGGAGATGGATCTTCAACTTCCTAACAAATCGAACACAAAGAGTAGTGGTCAACAGAGTTAAATCGGAGGCTGCCATAGTGAAGAGCTCTGTTCCACAAGGCACAGTACTAGCCCCCATCTTATTCCTTATCCTCATATCAGACATAAACAGAGATGTACACCACAGCACCATATCATCCTTTGCGGATGATACTAGGATCTGCATGAGGCTGTCATCTGCTGAGGACGCGGTTAACCTCCAAGAAGATATAAACAAAGTTTTC